CCTTAAAGGCCCCTCCTCTCAATACATGAATTTTCACCTCCCTTTTATTATAATACTTATTTCATTTTTTTACATTTATACCTCTGCTCCATTTGGAATTTATCCTGTTGGTGTAGGTATGTAGAAGGAATCTAATTTTATCTGTTTCTATATGGTTATTCAGTTATCATAACACATTTATTTAACAGTCCCTCTTTTCCCCAGTGATTTTGAGATACTGCCTTTGTCATACATAATACTAAGTCTGCGTATATATATATATGATCTATTTCTATACTTTCTCTTCTCCATTGCTCTGTTTTTCTTTACACACATTCTCATTTAATTCTATTTAATCCACAACAAATTATACAAATGAGAATGTTCAAGAATTAAGTAATTTGCACAAGTATCAAATAGCCCAGCTATTATGTAGCCAAATGTAGACTTGAACCCAAATCTCTCTGGCTCTAAAATTCATACTTTTACTCAACTTTTCTTTCCTATTTTCCATGGCACTTGATCTTTATTCTGCACAAGGTTGTTAACTGAGATAAATGAAACTGCCAGTAAAACTGTTTGACAAAGGTGGGGTTTTGAAGATTACAAAGTATTGCTTCTTTGAGTTACTTTTAGCCATTTATAGGTAAATAACTGAGAACCAAATATAGTCACAGTTGTAATTCATAATTTTGAAGAAGTTAAAATTATAATTTACTATAATTTTTAAGCAGTTACACTTGTGCTGGGAATATTTTAACTGATTCTCTAACTTTAGCATGCTTGAGAATCACCCAGAAAACTTACAACACAGATTGTCCATTCCCTGCACCTCCTTCCCCGCGTATAGTTTCTGATTCCTTACTTCTGTGATGAGGCTCAAGAATTTGCATTTTTAGCAGTCCCCAAATGATGCTGATGCTGTTGGTATAAGGACCATATTTTGAGAGCCACTGTTTTAAAACTATATTTGAAAAAGTTAAAGTTCTGTGAATTTCTCTAAAGTCAGACTTCTTGAGAGAAGAAAGGGGTCTAATTAAAAATTTTAAGAATTATGTTATTGCAGACCCCTAGTATAGTTAATTTTAAGTTCCCTGCTTTTACTTTGCCCTTTTAAAGTTTTCAGTTGGCATTGTTTTTGTTAAGCATTAAAAGTATAATTCTTAAACTTTATTTTCAATAGTTCTTAAAAGGAATGAACATTATGTCATTTGCACCTAGTATAATGATAAAAATGCATAGGTTTTCTTTTACAAGGTTACCTTTATCAGTGCCCTTTCTTTGACCCGTTTTTGGAGTAAATTAAACCCTGGTGGTTCACATGAATAGAATGTTTCACTGACTAGTTGGTCAGAAAATATTTAAAAGGTTTTAACAACATAAATCTAGGAAAGTGAGATAAAGGAGAAGTACCATAGGGGAACAATTTCGTCATGGCACTCTGGTGATCTTGCATGTATCCATACAGGCAAAGGCTTGGACCTCAGGACCGCAGCTTATCTGAGTCTTGGCATACCTTGTGATTCTCCTGGAATACGAGAGGATGAGGGGCCTCTAATGAGGCCATCTCCCATTCACTTCTCCATCTCTCCTGGAAGTCTGTCATGAGAGTTTCTCATTACCTCCCTGGTTGCTATACGGTATTGGGCTTTTGTCCCCCTGCACCCCTCCCCCTTTAGAATGGAGCTACAGAATATAAAAGTGCTTAGCTACAGTCTAGATTGGGTTCCTCAACAATTTATAGGTAGTCAGCCAAACCCTTTTGGTAGTATTGTTTTTGGTTTGTGGGACAAAGATCCAAGAGCTCGCTTTTTGGCTAATCATCTTTTCACTGTCTAAGTAATAAATTATCTAAATCTAATAAACTGTCTAAATCTAAAAATGGCTCATTGTATCTTTACTGTTAGGAATTAGTCAGGCTTTGGTCTTGCCTTGGTTGTATTTGTAAGCTTCACAGGAAGCAATGTTCCTTTTTTGGTAAGCATGGAAGGGAGTCGCATAATTTTAATTGGCAAAAACCAAGCTTTTTAAAGGATAATATACGATAATAAATAGTATTAACAATTATTGAGGACTTAAATGCCAGCACATAAAAAGGCATATTTACTACCATTTTTTATTTTGCCTGTGTAGTACAAATGGGAAAACTGAGGCTTTAAGATGACTTTCCCAAGGTCACATAGTTATTAAATACTACAGACATTATTATAACCTAGGCAGCCTGATTCCAGAGCCCACTCTCTTAAATTCATTGGTAATAAGATAACTAATATTTATGAAGAGCTTACTAAGTAATAGACACTATTCT